TCAAACTTCATTACAAAGTTGTTGTTACTAGCACAAGAATAGGCCTGAAGATGAATGGAATAGAATCAAAGACCCAGAAATGAACCCACAGACAGACTTATAGCAACCTATCATTTGATAAGAATGTCAAAAACACAGGATTGAAGAAAGACCATCATTTCAACAAATGGTGCTGGTAGAATTGGCTATATACATTTAGAAAACTGAGCTAGACTTACATGTCACCCTGCAAAGAATGTGAGACCAGATGCCTCTATACTACAAGAAAGGATATTGAAAGCACTGGGGCTCCTAGGCGTATGTCAAAACTTTCTAAATAAAGACCCAAAATTACAACTGATCAAAGAGGGACTGGATAAATGGGATTCAGCAAATCAAAGAGATTCTGCAAAAGACACAGCTAGCAAGGTAAATATAGAAAGCCTACAGAATGAGAAACAATCTTTACCAGCTATGTATCAGGAAAGGGCTTCATATGTAAAATGCACTTAGAGCTCAAAATATTAATCTCTCATAAAGAAATCCTCGGGGGAGATGGGAAGGGGTTGGAAGGGGAAAGAAAGGAGGAGGCAACAATGCTTGATAAGAAACACATTCATTATATCTTGACCATGTAATTGTAACCCCTCTGTACGGTATTTTCACAATAAAAAAATTTGAAAAAAAGAAACCCTCTAAGAAACAACTACCCCACAGTAAGTGGACTACAGACTTAAAGACAGACTTCTCAGAAGTAAGTATGGCCAATACACACATGAAGAAATGTCCAACATCTCTGAAGAAAAAAGAAATGGAAATCAAAACAACATTGAGATTCTACCTCACCCCAGGTGGAATAACCATTATGAAGAAAACTAACAATAACAGATGTTAGTGGGGATGTGGCTAAAATGGAATGTTACTATACTATTGGTGGGAATATAAACTTGTTCAACCACCCTGGAAAGCAATATGGAGGTTCCTCAAAATACTAATCATAGAGCTCCTCCAGGACCCAGCAATCCAGGTCCTGGTAATTTATCCAATAGATCACAAACACTAAAACTACCAGTACATCTATGTTCATTGCAGCATTGTTACCATAGCCAAGACACGGAATCAACCCAAATGCCCTTCAATAGATGAATTGAACAAGAAAAGGTGATACATATATACATACATACATACATACACACACACATACACAATGGTATTCTATGCTTCCATCAGAAAGAATGACATTTCCCTATTCATAAAGTAATGCAAAAATGTGGAAAAAATTATCTTAAGTGAAATAAGCCAGACTCAGAGAAACATAAGTTGCATGGTTTCCTTTATGTGTAATAATTAGAATGTTCTTATAAGTCCACAAGTAAACATGATGGTAAAAGACAAAAAAAAGTTACACTTAGATATGATAAATTATACAGGACTCTAAACATTCACACAGTGAGACCAAAGGGAGAGGATCATATAGCTATGTCCATATAGTCATATAAAATGAGGTTTAGTGAAATGCACTCCAAGAAATAGATACAATTATTGCTTTACTTTTTTCTCCCTTTGTCACTAGTTTTATTTCTATACATTTTACCTTGTATGTAAGTTTATCTGTTTTGAGGAGGGTAAGAGGAAACATAGAAATGTTGGGACAATGGGTAAACTAATGCAGCAGTGGTACTCACTAGATGCTGTGTTGAAAATGAACTATACAAATTGTGGGGTTGGGGATCAGGAGGAGAAAATGAGGGAAGAGTGACACTGTTAAAAAAAAAAAAGAAATGTATTCATTACCTGACTTACATAACTGTAACCCCTCTATACATCACCTATACAATAAAAATAAATAAATTAAAAATAATTCAAAAAAGATAAAAATACTTCATGCTGATCTAATGTTGATAGGGAAGGGAGAAGAGCACATGCAGTATCTTAGCCTCAGGACCAACAGCCACTCTCAAAGGAACCCAACTGAAATGTGGTGCATATGCTAAATTTTTGTAATCTTGCTCTCCCCTAGCAATAACAGCCTACCAAATAGTTCCTATAGACCCACTTATAGAACAATGGAAGTCTCTCTTAATCTGAGATCATTGGCCACAGAAGAAGACCAAACACTTTCTTGTAAAGGACAAACTTTGCTGAGGCTGAAGGAAATTATCCCGTGTAATCTTTCTTTATGACCATGAAAAGGCAACACTACCTCAGTGATCAAACTTAATTTCTCTCATCCATATCCAATAATTAGCAGGAGACTATCCTTTAACATCTAGTAAATTATTGTCTTCCACTATGGTTCAATTAATGTAGATGTCAAGGGTATATCTAAGAGCTGTCTACTTAATCAGTAGCTCAGAGTTGACATTGTTACTTTGGAATGAGAAATTTCTATGAAGATACATATTAATCCTTCAAGGCTAGAGCCACATTAACTTATCTAAATGCATTTATTATACTTTCTCCAATAAATGACCCATCTCTGGCTCAACTTTTTTCAGAAATCTGTTGTCCACCCTTTCCACTGGGAAATATAAGCACGGAAGACCCAATTCAAGCATCTCCTCCAGAAGACCCTTCTCTGACTGAAACCTAAAGCAGAGTTTATTCTTCTCTTCTTTTTCTAATAGTCTGGACACACAGATCTCTCTGGTTGCCTTATTTTGCTGTCATACAGCACTATGACTCAGGTGACTGAAGGCAGGGACTGTTTCTTTTGTAAACAAGACCCATATACTGCCCATCCGGGAGGCATTTGTTAAGTACACAATACTTCCCTGTCATCCTTATGCTCATTTTCACTATATCAGGACCCTGAAGCCAATCATAATCTGATAATAGTAAATGAAGAATTCAGCCATAAATAATTAGTAAGCTGTAAAGTGTACACCATGCTGAGTAGCATGATAAAATCAGTGACCTCACCTCTGTTGTCCCATCCAGGACAACCGTAATCACTGTCCAGTGTGTCCATGTGAAGTAAGGAAACTGGGTCTCAGTAATATGCCTTGTCCTTACTGCCATGTTGGTGCCTTGCTGGGTGGAGCAGGCTTTCTACACAGCTCTGAAAAACTCTAGAGGTAATAGAGGACATTTTTGGATCACAAATGTGTCCTGAGTTGTTAAGCTCCAGGAAAGTCTTACTTCCCTCAAATAATTGCCTCTTGATTTCCTCTGATATTTTTCCTTAGATTTGCTTAGATTTAAAACCTTTATTAGATTTAAGTGGTCATATGGTTTTCTTTGCTTATGGAGAACAATTTTGTTAGGATAAATTCCTTACACCTTAGGTGATTTTGACATATATAAGCTTTTTGCTAGCTGGCTGCTGGTCTTTGAGACAAGGGTCCACCAGCAGTCCACTGGTTCTCCAGAGCCAAATTCCGGAGTCAAATGCCAACAGAGATTCGTTCCTACAGATAACTTTTTGTAGACAGCATTTCATGCTCTAAAAGTCATGAACTTTCTACTGTCATTTTCTTAGTGTGGAGATAACAAGTGTTGTCGAACTTGCTTGGCTTCCTCTGCTGGTAAAGTTTAATAGAGTTTCTATTGTCTTTACTAGTGCTCTGGTTGCAAATGATTTATTTTGATCTTCTCACTTTGGTAATATCCTCAAAAGTTAGGGTGCATGTTTTAAGGGAGCCACAAGGCTTTTCTTAGCACATAACAGAGGAGGTTTCTGAACTTTTAAATTACTTGTGTCATGTCAAATACATTCACAAGTGTTTTCTCTTTTCTGTGGTCCCTAGACATGGCACACACATGAAAGATTTTTAGATCAGGAGGCATGTTTTGAAATCATTTATGAACAAGATTTCTCATAGTGATTTTTACTAAATCCTATGACTGTTAAAGTAGGAACACAAACTGGAAAAATAGTCATTGCTTCCTTTTCAAGCTTGGTTCTGTCCAAAGAAAAGAGGGCATATGGTGGACTTAAATGTGCTTGAGAATCTGGTGCAATGACATGGGAGGCAGAGATTGGTAGTATCATGAATTGAGGTAGCATAGGTAGAATTAGTGAGACCTCATCTCAAAACACAAGCAAAGTGGAAGCTTTGTGGTTTACTCCTGTCATGTATTATGCTATAGGCATGGGTGAGATCACAATGTGAGATTGTCCATAGCAAATATATCATACTCTATCTGAAAAATAAACTACAAGGAGCTGGAAGTGTCGGTCAAGTGATAGAGTGCTTACTTAGCAATCTTTAGGTCATGAGTTCAAATCATTGTACCACTTCCCAAATAGGATGCATGAATATATGACATCATGTATTCATTAGAGTTGGTAATAATTTATATGTCCTAAATTACCCATGCAACAAGAATGATTTAAGCCTAATGCATTAATTTGGATCATAAGCCTACATTTTAAAGTACCATAAATATAACTAGGCAATGGTGGTTCATACCTGTAATATTAGCTCTTCAGGAAACCAAGTTCTTAAGATCACAATTTGAAGCCAAACCAGACATAATTTTATGTCCATTTTCAATTTTTAATGGTGTGTCCAACTTTTAAAAGTTGCCTGATAATTTTTGTCTTCACAAAACTTAAATATTTCTCTATGAATTATAATATTGAACCCTGGAAGAACATAAAAAATAAAGTTCACTGAAATGGTGCCTATACTGTGTATACTTTTTGTCATAAGAGGGCACTGTTGGCTATAAAGGAAATAGCTTTTCTGTAGATTAAAACTAACCTTCCTACTCTGCAGCTAAAGGAGGAGTTCTGACTAAACATTTGTTTATTCAGAATCATAAACTCAGGTGTCAGAAATATGTACATTTTCAATAGATTATTTCTTCCTAATAACACTTTCAATGTTCTAAGAAACATCAGAATCACACTCTCCCTCTCCCCTTCCACTCCACGAAGACACTCAGCTAGGTGTGGGGGAGGGGCTTCCTGCACAGAGGCTGTAAAGGAACTCAGCTGATTGGTTGCAGTAGAAGGAACAGTGCCAGAGTCAAGCCCTGACACACCTGGCCCAGTTGAATTATATATACCTATCTCACATAACCAGACAGGCAACATGAAAGGGATATTGAGCACTCTGTTGGGACTTTTGTCCGTCCAGATTTGCTGTGAGTTGGGCTGTCCCACATCTAGGGTACACAGAGGGTTTCTCAGCTGTAGCATGTGGAGGAGAAGCAGGAAGATGTGTCCTTCTCATTCATAATCTATGGCAGCACTTTCAGAACTCTGCAGTTGTGGTAATGACGATCACATAAATGATCATTTCTCTCTTTTATTCAGGTGTAAGAGGAAATCAGGTTGAGCAGAGTCCTCCAGCCTTGCTTCTCCAGGAGGGAGTGAACTCCACGCTGCAGTGCAACTTTTCTAATACAGTAACCAGTGTGCAGTGGTTTCAGCAACATCCAAGAGGAGGCCTCATCGGCCTGTTTTACCTTGCTTCAGGAACAAAGCACAATGGGAGACTCGTAGCCACGATAGACACCAGGGAACGCCGCAGCTTGCTGTACATCTCCTCTGCCCAGAATACAGACTCTGCCACTTACTTCTGTGCTGTGAGAGACACAGTACTCCCTAGGCACCTGCAGCCTCTACACAAACCCTCAGCCTGGTGTAGTCCCTTTAAATAGTTTCTTGTCTCTTTCCTGCATTGGCAGTTTCACCCACAGTTGCTCCATGGGTTTGGTCTTTTCTTCCCTTCTCAGTCTATACCTCATCATTCACTACAAATAACTTACTTGGAATGAGCCAAGTGGCTGATACAAGATGGTATCAAAATAAATTAACTGCAGTGTGTTGGATCCCCAAAGGACAAAATGTAAGAGCAATAAAAAGAAGAAAAAAAAAGTTGGGATAGAGATGTTATTGACAGCAGTGCAGCTTAGTTTAGTGTTTCCAGAACATTCAGGCATTTTCACTCTAAGTCAGCTTAGGCCTTCACAGGCCTAAGCTCCGCAGATGAGGCACCTCCCACCTTCAACCACAGGTAACACCTCCAGCCCCCAACTGTATATAAAGGGTCCTCCAAGGAGCCAGATGACGCCCTCTTCTCCCTTCCCTCGAGACAACTTAGCCTTGTCTGCTCTATTGTCAATAAATCTTTTCCTCTATGTGACTTTTGTCCAAGTGGTCTTTTGGATACTTTCTGCTTGGGTTACTTTTCCTTTCATTCACCACATGCCCCAGGGGCAAAGGCCATTCTCCATTTCTTGCAGCCTAAAATATCAGTGAAGCAGAAATAGAACAATGTCTGAGGAGAGTGTCCACCTGTATGCTGCATTCATCTAATTCCCATTCATGCTTTTGTGTTGAATGGTCTGCTTACACTATAGCGGGCTTCTTGCTCAATTGAAATGGATGTGTGTTCTCCTGTTGGGTGGAGATGTTTCAGAGTTACTTGCTTTATAGTGTTGCTGTTAATCTACTAAGTTGTCCTAGCTTTTACTGAAGGCAAAGTATTAAACTCCCAACTATTATTGTTGAAATCTATTTCCCCCTGCAATTCTGAAAGCTATAAGTATTATATGTTTCTAATGTATTGACTTTTTATTATTAAAAGTAGTCCTTAACTTTGGACTGCTTATTTGGTTAAAATGTATTTTATCAAATAATGTTATGGCAATTCCATCTTTCTAGCTGTTTGTGCACGATACATTTTCCATCCTTTATCTTATTTCTGTTTGCTTGATTTGGATATTAAATGTTTCAATAACTTGTAAATTTGAATTAAGTAAAAAAATTTAAATGTGCTTTCTTAAAAAGTACTGCTTTACAGTCTGAAATTGCCGTCTAAATGAAGGTAAGTTGAAGTATTTTTTTTTTTTTTTTGGTCTGGTTGTGGGACCTGAACTCTGGGCCTGGGCGCTGTCCCTCAGCTCGTCAGCTCAAGGCTAGAGCTCTACCACTTGAGCCACAGCGCCACTTCCGGCTTTTTTCTTTTTGCTTATGTGGTGCTGAGGAATCGAATCCAGGGCCTCAGGCATGCAAGCCAAGTGCTCTACCACTGAACCACCTTCCCAGCCCATGTTGAACGTATTTAAAAGTTGAACCTGCTGTTCATTTCTATTTGCTAGATATGGATGGTCACTTGATTTCTTTAAGTCATTTTTTCTTTTTTCATTAAAATGTTTCTTACCTAACTGAAAATTGTTGAACGTATATATGTAAGATTATTTCTCTACTACCTACTTTTTCTATACTGATACAACATCTACATTAGCCTATGTGTCACATTTTCACCAACACCATCTGTTTCACTGTTCTTTCTAGTAGATCCTGTTAGGGTGAGTTCTCCATATTAATCCTTTCAAAATTTCTTTTCATTATATGAACATCTTTTCATTATGTGAGTCACTATATCTACTTACGGAAAAGTAGGTCTGCTTCTCATGTGAGCAGCATTACGTAATGTACAATTTGTGGGAATTAAAGCTAATAGTTTTATTTTCCAGTTTGTTGAAGTTTCTTTATTTTTTAGCATTACTTTCAACTTTTCTGGACAGTAATTTGTAAATCTTTAAGGAAATAAAAAGATAAACCATTAGCAAGGATAAAGGCTATGAAGCAGGTAAGTTGTGAAATGATTGTTTTTACAGAAAATACATAGAGCTTTACAATTCAATAAAAGAGAAACAATTAAGGTGAGAAATATTATTGAGCAGACTGTTCACCAAAAAATTATAGGAATGACCAAATCACAGATGAAAAGGTTCTCTACATCAGACCCTAAAAGGCAAAGCAATCTTGTCTATACACACCATCTTCCATACCACTTGAGGAATGACTTCAGCAAAAGCAATGTTATTTGCCTCATTCTTCAGACATCCTTGACACAAAACAAGACAATGTGAACAAGGAGGCAATGTGGGAGGTGGTAGGATTATGAGTCAACAAGGAGATCAAGGGCAATGCCTGAGAGGTTCTTAGTGCCTGGAACTGGAAATCTGCAAATACTTGACATAGTTACTGAATCACAATTACATTACAAATGTTGTGCATGACTTCTACAAGCTAAACCACGCAGGAAAGTAGGTGCAGACAGAACTCAAGGTGACCAACAGGTGATGTGGTAGCTGTATACAGTCCTAGTTATGTGGAGACAGTGTACAGCTACCACATTGCTTATTTGTCACTTTGAGTTCTGTCTTCACCTACTTGAATTCCAAGTTCAAATAAAGCCATTAGTACAATCATACTTCTTCCTAATATGATACAGTACTCTTCATTCAAACACAAACTCCCTAACCCTCTTCCACAAATAGGATGATGAGCTCATTTCCCAAATATGAGATATATTTCTTACATTTCTAGATGATTCACACTCTCTACTGAAATCCTATAGTTTAACTACTGAGTTATGAAGTATAACATTACATCATGTCCCATCTTCCTGGTATTAATTTTGTTAAATTGTTAATAGTTCAAAAAGTTTAAAGAATATTCACTGTACACATATGAAAAAAGAAGTGGGAAATATGAGATGAGGCTGGAGAAAGGATACCTTCATAATGTCAAAAGTTGTGATCCCAATCTGGACATTTACACTTACATGACATGGTAAATTCTAAGCCCCTTATACAATCTTGTTCTTAATTTAAATTTAAATATTATTGTAAATGTGATGTACAGATGGGCTACAGTTACATAAATAAGGTAGTGAGTACATTTCTTTTTGAACACTGTGACCCAGCTCTCATTTTCTCCCACTTTCCCCCTTCCCCTACCTCCTTTCCCATAAGTTGTAAGGTTATTTCTAACATAGTGTCTAATTAGTATAGCTTTGAATTGGTTCACCCTTTGTCACACTGTTTCTGTGATGCCCTTCCCTTCCCCAAATCAGATAAACATATATACAAGACAAAGGGTACTGAAATAAAAAACAATGACAATGAAAAAAAGAAAGAAAAAAAAGAAAGGAAGAAAAAAAGAAGGGAAGGACTGAAAACAGTAAATAAAAAAGTTCTGTTTCCATTTCTTGGAGTTCATTTTGATAAGCATCATCTTATATGATCATATGCACATAGCCATTGTGGTCCTTTCCTAAGAATATCCTCCTTTGTTCTCACTGTGCCATACTTCAAGTTATGTTTAGTTAATCATGTCCAAGTGTAATTATCTTTTACTACACATTGGATTAACAGGGGAAACCAAGCATTCTATGTTTCTTTGGGTCTGTCTTACTTCACTTAATATACTTTTTTCCAAGTCCATCCATTTCCTTACAAATGGGCCACATTCTTTCTGATGGAAACACAGAATTCCATTGTGTATATATATCTCATTTTCTTGATCCGTTCATCCAGTGAGGGGCATCTGGGTTGATTCCATATCTTGATTATGGTAAATAACGTTGCAATGAACATGCTTGTGCTGGTGGCATTAGTGCAGGCTAGTTTGTGGTCATTTGTGTAAATGCCAAGGAGTGGGATTGCTAGGTCCTAGGGAAGCTGTATGTTTAGCCTTTTCAGGAACATCCATACTGCTTTCCAGAGTGATCAAACAAGTTTAAATTCTCATTTAATTAAGTTCTCATAAATCATGGCCTCATCCATGTCATCAACTGTTATTATTAGTTTTCTTGGTAATGGCCATTCTAACTGCGATGACATGGAATCTCAGTGTTGTTTTGATTTGCATTTCTTTTATGGTAAGAGGTGTTGAATATTTCTTCATGTGTCTATTGGCCATTCTTATTTCTTCTTTAGGAAGTATCTCTTTAAGTCTTTAGCCCACTTATTGATGGGGATTGTTGTTTCTTTAAGGATATTTTTGAGGGGGTTAATTTTTTGCGCTCTAAGTAAATTTTATAGATGAGGCCTTTGTCTGATGTATGGCTAGTAAATATTTTCTCCCAACCTGTGGGCTTTCTATTTATCCTGCTATCTATCTCCTTTGCCATGCAGAAACTCTTCAGTTTAATGCAATCACGTTTATCCAGACTTTCTTTTATGTTTTGACCTGTTCCAAGGAGCCTTAGTGTTTTTCTTATCCCTTCCTTTAATATTTTCAGGGTATTTGGTCTTACATTGAGGTCTTTAATTCATTTGTGATTGATTATGGTGTAGGGTCATGTATCCTGAAAGGATGTCAGTTTGGAGTAGTTAGGACATTTTGAATAAACTCTGAGAGTTAATTATATCTAACTTACATGCTAGAAATCTAGAGTCAATTTGTGAGTGACATTGTGATTTGTCCAGAGAATAATCTTATTCATAGAAAGTCTATTATGTTTCATTTACTTGATTTTTCTCAGTATAAACTGTAAAATATCAGGAAGAATATTTAAATACCTTACAAAGCTTTCATACCAATAAGTCATGGCTGACATTTTGTTCTATATTAATATATTATTCAAATAGGTTCACACATTCTGATACTTTTATTTATTTCCTCTTAATATATTTTAACACAGCATTTCACAATTGTCCAATCTTATAAACTTAAATTTTAATGATTGTAAGAATGATTTTCCAAGTCACAATTTAATCTCTTGTATTCATCATCTTGTGTTTGCATGGAAGACCTTTTTTTTCCTGAAGTTAGATGTTGCTCTTTACCTACATGATTAGCTTCTTAAATAGGCTGTTTTACATTTCTTCTGGTATAGGACAATGCACTTCATTGTGCATGTGCCGTTTCTCCAGCTGTCTCATCATTCTTGAGATGTTGAGTCTTTTTATTCTTATACTTTTTGTATTTTCATAGTATTTATAAAGGTATATATTTTGAAGTATTGATTTTTGAACTCAGGGACTTTCACCTGCTAAGTAAGCCCTCTAACTGCTTGAGCCACACTCCCAACCCTAATGAAAGTAGATTTTATATTGACAACACGGTAATCTGAGGTTACTCATATCACTGATGGACACAGATTTATTAAACATTCTTTCAAGGCAGTCAGGGAGGTCATAGTTCCCTTCCAAAGGTCAACACATCAGATGCTGATAGGGATGGTCCCTTACCCATGTTGATATCACAGCTATGGCAGTGACTCTCACTGGATGATCTCCCAGAGCAGTCTTCTCCATGCCTGAAATATCAGTTACTTCTGCCTCCTGTGTGACAGCTTCAGCATAATAGGGAGAGAGA